CAAAGCCAGGTCACCATTTTGATTATGAGACGAAAGAGAGAGTCTGGGATCGAGGGGTTTGACTGAAGGGGTGTGTTGCTTGTGAAGAACGAGAAAACGAGAAATCAATTTCCGGTGGGGCAGCGAAAAACTGTAGAAAACGTTTAACGATGTTCGGGGCAGCCAGTACCAGCCAGAACGCGCTAAATCTTTATTAGGTAAGGACAAGTTGAGCGACGTTAAGTTTGTGGTTCTCTTGTCCCTGCATGGGGGTACAACTGAGAAGTCTAAGATGGTAATCCCCGCTCATAGGTTCTAATTGGCGATTGCAAGCCCGGTTTTCTACGTGCTGTTTTGTGGCATATTGGCGGAGAGAAATGATTTTATAGATCTCCCTGACTGCGACTATCAAGGGATGATGGAGTTCCTACGATACATTTACACCGAGGAAGTTCGCTTAAATGGGGACAATATTTTACAGTTACTCTATTTGGCAGAGAAATACATGATTCCCTCGCTGACCAACCGCAGCGTTTTATTCTTGCGAGACCATCTGGATTCAAGTAACATCTTTTGTGTCTTGAAACACTCTAAGTTAATTGAAAATAAGTCTCTCTGGCGCTCCTGTTGGAAATTTATAGATAAAGAAGCCAAAGATGTTTTGGAATCAAGCGAGTTCTTGGAAATGGATCGATCAGACTTGATTGAATTGGTGAAAAGGAACACACTGAACGTCAAGGAAGTCGAATTGTTCACTGCCATCAATAAGTGGGCGGCAAACCAATGTAAAAAGCTCGGGCTTTGCGCTACAATAGAACGCCGTCAAGTCCTTGGAGATGACATCATAGACAACTTGAGGTTTCCAGTTATGGAAGAAAACGAATTTAATGTTGTCAAAAGCACCAATCTGTTAACAAAGGAAGAAACACAGGAAGTTTTGAACAACTTCGCTGACAGCAGATGGCCAACTCGGTTTTTGCGACATGAGAGGCAATATGACCCTTCATCTCAAAGAAGAACTCTTTACCACAGGGGGCAGATATGGGATATCTATGATTAAATCATGCCTACTAGACAAAACCCACTCCGCAGTGCATGTTTCTCAGATAAATTTGTTTTGGTTTATGTTGTAATAATCCTATTAATACACTTTATATGTGCTTTATATATTCAGTTGGTTAATGACTTTTGTCTTATTTGGTGGCTCCTAAAAGAGCCGTTTTGTTTGTTGTCGATAGACTTGTTGAATCCATGCATCCAGTCTATTCTTCTTCTTAACTTGAGCTTATCCAGGACAGGTCGATTTTCTCTGCGAATCAAAAACAAATATTAGAAACTATGATCATCAAATGAAACGAACGAGGATAATGTAAATTCCAAACGATGTAATAACACTGGAATACATCGTGAAACGTAACCTCGCCTGATATTCAACGTACCATCCTTCCTTTGCTCTTGGTGGTTCCTTTCACGGCTAAAAGTCACAAATAAGTAACTCAGATCGACAGGCCAGGTCTTCCTTGCTTGGCAAAGAGTGGGTTTCTCGCCAATTCCCGACCATTGGCAGCGAGGACACTTGGAATGATCGTAGTGCAACTTCCTCTGGTTGGTGAACCGGATGGTTATGGGCTGCTGTCGACTAACAACACATCTGGTAGAGGTGCGAAACGCTCGTTTGGACCACCCATCTGGCAGAAGGTTGTCGAGGTCTTCGGGTTTCACATCAAACCTTCTCCTACCACGACTCAGGCCACTGAACAGGTCTTCAAAGACCCCTGGATCCATCGGAACTCTGATAGCATATTTCGAGCATATTTCGATCAATAACTCAAGACATTCAAGAACTACGCGCTATTCAAACTTTAATGTACTGTGCCCCAGATATAACAGGGAAACTGAAGGTGGGCGCACCTTTCTCGTCACCGGAACCAAAATTTGGAACGAGTTACCACTACGCATACGGATGGCGGACAGCATAAGGTGCTTCAAGCACAATATGTGGACTAATATTTTTTCGCAGCAACAATTTTTAAGTCATTTTTGTGTATAGTTTCCTTTTTTT